ATTGATTTATTTTCCCATGGTTCTTCTCTTCTCATATCTATAACATTCAATACATATTTACATATTGTAGATAAAATTGTTGCAAATAATATAGAATACTAAAATAAAAATAATGATAATAATAAATTCATTAGTCGCTAATAAATCGACCAAAAAAATCAAACATTAATAATTAAATAATCGTAATTACTTCAAACGTAAACATTATCATCATATTTGGTTTACTTTTCATTGCTAAATCCACAGCATGATAAACAAGTAAAGCATCTACTGCACATAATGTTTCCATTAAAGAAACCATTCTAACATGAAAAGAAACTGGCACAGCTGGTGATTGTTCCATCTATTTAAATTTCCATCAAACGAAGATCAATAAGAAAGTGAAGGAGGAGGAGGAGGAGGAGGAGGAAGAGGTAGATATAATAAATAAATAAACTTACAAACTCCACACGATCTTGACATAACCAATGAAATATTTTTAAGAATAATAATGAGGTAAATGTTATAACAAATTTGGCATCAAATTCATCTCTAAATATGGTCATTGCAAGGCAAGTTTCTGTTACCGCATACCATGCCCTCTCATATAAATGCTTATTTATAAAAAATATCAAAAGAAAACGAATATTATTAATATATCTAAAATCTGTCAAGATATTATATTCATTTATGTATCTATGATTAAATCAATATACCAATTACCTCAATTTCAACTACTCGTAAACGACCAAAAAATATTGTTTGAAGAATTTTTCCAAATATAATCGTCAAGAAAAATCCCATGTTCATAAGGATCTAACAAATTAAATTTGTTAAATTATTCACATGCTAATTGAGATCTATAAATTATCAATCTTGTTATAATAGTAGTAATTTACCATCATACAAGCACTAGATTTTGATAAATAAATGCATGCTGCATAGAAATTACTTCTTAGAAGAAACGAAATCGCTATAGTTGTAACAAATAGCAGAGTACTTAATCCACCATAAGCTGCTAAGCGAACCATTTTTTTTTCTTTCAAAAAAAAAAAAAATTTAATAATAGAAATAATCTAAAACGTCACACTATGTCACTCAATTAATAGAATTACCAGTGAAAGTTTTTAAAAATAAATTTAATAGCAAATTGTTCGGATTGTAATTGATGTGATATTATCAATTAATAAATTATCAACATTTTTTAAATGGTTAGAAAGAAATAATTATAAATTAAACAAAGAATTAATTTGTATAGTGATTGAAGGATGATATATAATAACTGAGGACAATGAAGCAATGGCTAGATTTCTTTATGAATGCAGAAATCATAATTTATAAAATGGATGGATAACATTTAATGAATTTAAAAATACCGAATAAAGCCGAATGTGGCGAATTTCATTAAGAAAGGTGGATTAAGAGATGTCATGTAAGTAATGAAATTGAAAAAGATTACATAGTTGTCAGTGATAAAATTTTAGAAAAGGTAAATACTTGCATATTAGCCAGTCCAGTTAAATATTAAATAATTAATAAGATAATCATAAAAATAATTATTAGTTTAAAAGTAATCAATGAATGTCATTATGATATTAATCTATGCTATGGAGTTACAATGAAAATGATTATCTACTGGTATTCAATAACAAAGATTTACATAATCATTTATCTTAAAGATATTACTTTGAATTGCTTTATTGGGTTTTAACAGGGTAAGTTTTAAATTTTTATTATTAAATTATTTTTCATATGGAGCATTCATTCTACAAACAAAACCAAAGTGAACATTGTGTCATACATTCTAAAAAATGGTTACATTTATCACTTTGATTGTTTTATTTTTTTCTTAAAAGAGAAAAAAATTTTATAAAGAAAATGCAAACTGATAATTATAGTGCATTAGATAATTCCAATCAAAAGATAATGGTAACTGACAGTAAAGAAAGCACACAAGTTCATACATTGAAAGATTATGTTTCATGAATCTTTGTTTTTATTTGATTGGTATCAAAAAGATGTAAATAAGTGTGCCTAGTAACATTATAAAAACGTCACTAATTCACTTTAATTCACTTTATTTTCAGGTGAAAAAACAAATGTCAGATAAAGCAAATATTATAATTATTTTTAGAAGAGTTTCAAAAAACACTATCAAAAAATTGCTGTTGACATTTCATTAGACTAAAAATAAAACACCTTTCAGTAAAAACTATCAATATGAGCAAGGTGCACTTTTTTGTGTTATCTTTTCCCACCAACATAACTAGATTTACTGTATTACAAACAAATTTTCATTTTAACAACCTCTTCAATTGAGGAGAATCAGGCAATTCTCTAATATATATACTTGTACTTTTTATTTTTGATCAGCTTATATGGGCATGCTGCAACAAAATCAGACAAAGTGAACATTTGGTATTAGTATTACCAAAAATTTCAGGGATCACTAAAAATAATATTAATATTGTAAACTAGAGTAGCAAGTAATGGATCAATAATAACCACCACCACCTTTTTTTAATACAACCCAAATTCCTTACTTGGTGGGGAATTTAAATCCTCTTTTTAACCCTAACTTCTTTTTCATACGATAAATTATGATAATTAAGTCGTTTTGCTGATAATTAAGTAATGCTTTTAAAGTCTTATCCTTCAACAGACTAAAACGGTTAACTACTTCCGTTTCCTTCTTTATCAAAAGTGTATATATACAGAAAAAAAAATCAAATATGTATAATTCTAATTTTTATAAATAGCTAGAAAATATTTATTATATCAATTTTTTCTATTCATTATATTGATATGAATGTGCATCATTCAACACTGCAAAAATAATAATTTGAGTAAAAATAACTTTATTTCTTTTCATTCTCTATTTACATTACACATAAAACTTGCTTTTTCAACATTATTGTGTATGAATTTGATTTATTTATTTTTGCTTCCTATGTTGTAAAATATACATTATTGTTTGCATGAGAACTTTATGCAATGTAAAAATTATAATAAAATAAGTAAAAAGAAGAGTACAATTTATAATATTACAACCAAAAATTAAAGTAATAAATGAAGCTATCAAAGAGTTAAAGAGCAAATACAGCCTTATTTATTATTTAAAATAAAACAAAGATCAATCAGCAGTTAATATGTTTTCAAAAACAATGATATTGGCTTTAATAATAGTAATGATGAAAATACTTACTCTCTATTTATTATTTAAAATAAAATGAGAATCATCAACAGTTAATATGTTTTCAAAAACAATGATATTGACTGTAATAATGGTAACTTACCAATCTATTTATTATTTAAAATAAAATGAAAACCAATAATTAATATGTTTTCAAAAACAATGATACCGACTGTAATAATAATACAAAAATACTTACGGAACTATTTATTATTTAAAATCAAATGAAACCTAATAGTTAGTGTTTTTTCAAAACGATGATATTTGACTATAATGATGTTTATTGCAATAGTTAAATGAAGTACCTCGCTTCTCCAAATTATTGTTATCACCCATTGGACTTGCTAAAGCAACAACAACAAAGATAGCCAAAAAGAGAAGAGAAATATTGAATTTCATTTTGATTTGTTCGGTTAATTATTAGCGAAATTTTTTTTTTTTAAAATTGTATGCAGTTAAGGAATTAATAAAAAATTTATATATAGTAAACCAACTATTTTAGAATTTTGGTTATTCTTCGCAATCACAGATAATTGGATCCTTTAAATATTCGATTTAATGTTAATTAAACAAGAAATTGATTGTTGATCGTGAATTGGCTGTATATCATACATAAAGTGAATAATGTAACGACAACAAACAACAAAGAAAATGAAAAAAGAAAAAAAATGCAAACGGTTATTTATTTTTTAGGAACGGTATCGAAGATAAACGGAAAGGATTGACATAATAACAAGTTTACAAATGAGGAAACAAAGCGAGCCATTTGAGACTTTCATTTACGCTTCCGAATTCGCAGAAAAACGTACGGGTTTAAAAATTCGTAATAGTAATTAATTATTATTATTATTATTATTATTATAATTCAATTCCGTAATAGTAAAGATTATTGAGACAATTTAAATAGAAGTGATTTCAATTAATGGCTTATATTAATATGGCCTAACATTCAGAAAGCCAAAGTTTATCCAGCCAGCCTCTATACAACAGTTTAACTGAGTCGTAGGTTATTATTAGTATTAGAGTGGTGTAAAAATTCGAAAATATCTGAATTATGGACAGCCAATCGTCTTTACGGAATTACGGTAGCCGAAATTATTATTAGTATAATTAATATTAATTTTATATTTTGTTTACGTTTTCCATTTGCATTTTCGGAGACAACTATAGCTCTATGCGGTGGTATTGATGGCGAATGTTATTATTATTACAACTCGTAATGATTCTTTGGCTCATTTGGTTGGAAGAAGTTGAAAAAGGTTAAAGTGAATATTTTTATTTAAATTCATATAATGATTATTAATTGCAAGCAAATAAACGAATCAGCTAGCAATAAGCAAAAATGACAAAGAAAAATTTAGCAATCTCTAAATCGAGTATTTATGTTATTGTACTCTAGAAATTTTAGCAATATTATAGAAAATTTTGAAGAATAATTGATTAACTTTGCAGTAAACTTTTGAATTTTTTTTTTAATCAATCAAGTATTAGAGAACTTGCTATATTCCTTCCACTTTTAGATGGTACTATGATATTACTAGTGATATGTTCTAAAGTAAATAGAGCTCTAGGGTTTTTTCCATTCCAATAGAGTAAAACCGTTTCCTGAACAAGGGTTATTGCCATTTTTAATGAGCCATTCCTTTTTAATTCTTTATAATCTGTAGAAGTCGTGTACCGACTTAAAAGTTTGCATGCAACTGATTCAGTAACAATATATCTTGTAACTTCTTGTCTATTTACGTCATGGCCAATAACAATTCCTTCTCTAAATTATTATTAACAATATAGTTAATATTTTTGATATTTTCTTATAAAACAAATATAAATAAATATTTACTTTTTTTTTTCTTTTTTAAATTTTTTTATTAACGCGTCCACCATACTATTATAACTACATCTAGCCTTACAAAATTTAGATCTAGTCTTTTTTATCATGTCAAGATGAATTTGTGAACGTGTATCAAAATTGAAAATTGCTTTTACAAGTCTTTCCATTACTGCAGGAATAGGAAATCGAACACGAAGGAAAAGACACTTGACCTCTTCATCCAAAATATTTAGCAGGTCCTAATTGATTAATTGATTAATGAAATATCGAGAAAAATAATAATCTAAATTTCAAAATTTACCTCACTTATATTATTAGGTACGATAGAACTATTTCTAGATTCTGAAATACTCTTTTTCAATAATTGGTTCTTCAAAAGCAAATTGTTAGCCAATTGCAAGACATTGGGATGCTCTACTAGCCATTGAACTATTTCATTATCATTATCTATTTCATCTTCATTATCTATTTCTTGACAGGAATAGAGGGTGCCATTAGAAGTATCTAGATTGTTTATTATATCATATGATTAATTAATAAAGGTTAAATGTAAAATAATAGGTAAATAATTGTTTGTTCATTTATATATATATATATATATGCACGTACCATCTATAGTTATTACTTCATCAATAGATTCTTCGCCAATTAATTCTTCATCAATAAATTCTTCATCAAGTTCTTCATTAATAAACTCTTCGGTTTCAGAATCATTTACTTAAAAGGAAATAATAAATTAGATGATGACAATGATGACAATTTTTACATAAAATAATTAAATAGTTACCATTTCCTTGAAACAAATTATTATTACTAATTAAAATTATTGGATAACCTTCTTCTTTCGTAATTTCATCATGTGAAATTTCATCATTAGTTAACATTGGCAGTGAGATTTCTTCTCTTTTAATTAACATTGATAGTGGTGTTTCTTCTCTTTTGATTAAGACTGGTGACGTTTCTTCTCTTTTGATTAACATGGGTGACGTTTCTTCTCTCTTGATTAA